ATATTTTATTATTGATTATTTAAAACATGTATTTTGGCTTAGTATTATCCTTGAAAGTAAAACTGATCAAGGAAGTATGAGGAGGAGGGAACAGGAAGAGGGGCAGACACACAGAGGCAAAAGTGAAGGGGGTGGGAATGTTAGTAATTAGGGTACAGTTATATTACAAATATAGGTCATTATAATATAATTGTAGTTACATTTGAAAGTTTTCCAAAGAGCATTAACAAAACTCTGAAACCACACAGTGGACATCTCTTAGCTCATTCTTGTAAAACTGAAGACGAATTCTCTGCATGCAGCATAAGCAAAATCCATTAATGAAAAGTGTTCAGAAGACAAAAAGCAGGCATTGCATTAAATGTTGGAATCATTGATTTCCCCATAAGCCACTCTTCGATTTTCAGTAAACTTTCAAATATGTTTTGGGATCTCTAGTATGGTTTTGCATTGGCACAAACAAACCAGCTTCTGTCATATAATGAAAAAATAAACTGTATCTGTCATCAACCCTATCCTACACAAAAGCATAATAACACTGGCAGTGGTTTCAATTAATGTCTTTATGGGTATTTATTCTTAGCATGATGGAGAGTTAGTGCCATCCTAACTAAAACATATTTTCAATCATTTTTTTTTCTTCTGTGGGTGTCTCACATTTAACAGCTGGATACTGATGGGCTCAGAATTCTTTTTTGTGATTTTAGAGCCTTTGGATAACAGATAAATTTTCAGTTTTATTTCCTCCAACCCAGATAAAACAAACTGAGGAATAACTTCCAAAGGGGGATTCTGGGAAGAGCTGAAGGGTTTGGATATCTAAGAGTGTTGGTGGAACCTGTGTGAAGTGAGGCTCTAGAAAAGCAGTTCAGAAACCATTGAGCCACATCTGTGTCCAGCACTCATGAACAAAACAACAGGTGCACGGATGCAGAGGAATCTCTGTCTTGAAGCCTGGTAGAGCCCTAAGGTCTGAGTGGTCCCTAAAGTCAGGTAATGTTACAGTTTGGACACTGAAATATAAGAGAGTACAAAGCTTTACTTTTGTACTTTTCATGCAGGCTGGGTTAAAAACAGCCAACTCTAGCTAACATTTATTGAGTGTTTTTAATTATGTGCTAGGGACTGAGCCAAGTGCCTCACATTGATTAAGTCATTGAAATATCACAGTAGACAAATATTGTTTCTTTCAGACTTCTAGGAGACTTGAGTCCCAGAGGAGTCTAGTAACTTACACAAACATTGGTTATGGAACCAGTCAGTGGTAGACTTAGTTTGCACCCACAGTCTGATTCCAGAGTAGGAGAACTCAGCCACACTGTTCTCTAAGAACCTCTAAATGGCCAGCAAGTCAGAAATTTGCCCAGTCTGTTTTGCAGTAGCTATTTAACCTTTTCATTGAGAACTTCTTTCAACCACAGGAGCAATAACTAGCTTAAGATATAAAACAGGTGCATTGCAATGAGTATTATTTAGCTTGAAAAGACTTTTAATATTTCCTTCATGAAAGTTTTATCAAATACCTTTCATTTTAATCTCAAAGTGATTTCTGTCTCTAACATATGCTTGAGGCTGGGTGAAGATACATAACATTTCAGATTTGGCACTCTTTCCCATAAGAGGGAAGTTTTGATGCTGGAGTTGAGAAATGTTATTTCATGTAGAAGAATTCTTCTCCTCATTCTGATGTTCCTTTGTACTGAATGAAAGTGTCTAACGTTTTTAGGAAATTTCAGTGCTTGAAAATCTGATATACGAGTTAGTGGGTGATTACTTGTAATACAAATAATCCATCCCAGAAATATAGAGTGTTAGCATTATGTGCAGGTTTATGCAATAAAAATGTAGCTAGATTTAACTTTTCAGATTGTTGAATAAAGTGAGATGCACTGTCTTTAATTCACTATTCTCTAATCCAGAACAGAGGTTATCTTGGATTGTCAGATTACAGGTATGTTGCTGTAAAGAGCTAATTTGGCCAGCATCATATGATAATCCCTAAAAGATCACTCCAGCTGAATATCAACTCAAAGGAAAAAAATATGCCTCACAGAATCTTTTTCAAGAAAGTGCTGAAACAAATGGAAATCCACATGCAAAAAAAAAAAAAACAGAAAAAATATGGACACAGACATAATGTTTTCATAAGATTAGCTTAGACTTGATAGTAAACCTAAATGCAAAATGCAAAAATATAAAACTTTAGAAGAAAACACAGAAAGGAATCTATGTATTCTTGGTTTTGGGTTTGGTGATAACTTTTACATAAAACACCAAAAATATGACCTATGAAAGAAAAAATTGATGTTATTCTTCTTGAAGTTAAAAACTTCTGCTGCATGAAAGATATGGCTAACAGAAGAAAAGACATGCAAAATAATAGAGAAAATCTTAGCAAACAAATCTGACAAAAGATTTATAGCTAAAATATGAAAAAAAAATTCAAATTTAACAATAAGAAAATAAACAACTCCATTTATAAAATGGGTAAAAGATTTGAAGAGATATCTCACCAAAGATATACAGATGGAAAATAAACACATGAAAAGACACTCAGCATCATACTTATGAGGGGATTCAAATTCAAATAATAATGAGATGCCACCACACAGCTATCAGATTGGCTAAAATCTAAATCACTGATAGCACTAAATGCTGGTGAACATTTGAATCAATAGGAACTCTCACTTCCTGCTGATGGGAAAGAGAGAAACGATACTTTGGAAGCTACTTTTAAGCTACTTTGGAAGAAAGTTTGGCAATTTCTTACAAAGCTAAATATTAGGTTCATCATATGATCCAGTAAACACACACACAGGTATTTTCAAAAATGAGTTGAAAACTTGAATATATACAAAGTCCTGCTCATGAATGCTTGTAGAAATTTTATTCATAATTACCCAAACCAGAAGCGACCAACTTGTCCTTCAACAGGTGAATGGATAAACAAATCAGTATATCCATTCACTAAATGTTATGCCGTGATTCGGAGAAATTAGCTATTGATTCATTAAAAGACTTAGAAGAGGGCTAGGGTTGTGGCTCAGTGGTAGGCGCTTGCCTAGCATGTGTGAGACACTGGATTCAATTCTTAGCACTGCATATAAATAATGAATAAAATAAATGTCCACCAACATCTAAAAGAAATAAAAAAGAGATGTGGAAGATACTTAAGTGCATATTTCTAAGAGTAAGGAGTCAGTCTGAAAAGTCTGTATATTGTATATTCTAACCATAGGACATTCTGGAAAAGGATAACATGTAGAGACAGTAAACAGCAGTGGTTGACAGACTTTGAGGGGAGGGAGAAAGAAGGATAGCAAGGTGGAGCATAGAGAGATTTTAAGATGGTGAAATGTGTGTGATATTGTGATGGTGTATACATGACATTATGCATTTGTCAAAAACCTACAGAACTTTATAACACAAGGTGTAAACTCCAATGTAAACTACAGACCTGAATAATAATATATTAATTTTGGCTCACCAATTTTAACAAATATATCACACTTTTGCAAGGTGTTAATAATAGGGGAAACTGTAGGAAATTTAGGAATATCTAATTTCTTCATATTGTGGAATAACATTTAATGAATTGATATACTGATTTGTTCATCCATTCACCTGTTGAAGGACATGTTGGTTGCTTCTGGTTTGGGTAATTATGAATAAAACTGCTGTAAGTATTCATAAGCATTAGGAAGGTGGTATATGAAAACTCAGTTTCAGCTATTTTTTTTTTTTTTGGTAAACCTAGAATTGCTGCAAAAAAAAAAAAAAAAAGGTAGCAATTAAAACAACAACAACAACAACAACAAAATGGTTGATGTTTCTTTTTGGCCTTATCTCTAACCCCAATTATCATCTTCAAACCAGTCTCTTCAGCATTTGCTTGTTCCAGTCCCTTTCTCATTAATACCCTCTAATGACTCTTCTTGAGTATCAATCTTTGCTCAAATGCCTTCAGTGGTTCTTCATTATTTGCTCTTCAGCGTCTCTTAAGACCCTAGTCATATCTTGTAGGAGTTTGTCATTCTTCAACATACAGGCTCACTTGCTGTTTGCTAAGCAATTTTGTCTATTCTCTGGAGTTTTCTTTATGGCTGGAAATGCTCTCCCCTCCATATTTCTATCTTCACAAACAATAGCTTTCCAGCTCAGATTTTATTCATATTCACAATGGTCTTTACTTAGGTTGCCTTTACTCTTCCTTCCATCTTCAATAGGATTTTAGCCCCTGTGAGAAGAGAGACTGTATTTTGCTCATTCTTTAATTATGTGAAGCTTCTAGAAGTGTGCTGTGCAGGCAGTGGGCGCTCAGCAACTCAGTGTTATTGATATTGTATTCATAATCAGATCTATATTTATTTTAAATTACTGTAGTCCTTATCAATTGATAAACTTATAAATATTATGCCTAATACACTATTGTGCATATTGAGGACATAGCAATGATCAGGAGACAGTCCCTTCCTTACAATATCTTACATTCTAAGGTAAGAACCTGATGAACAAGGAACTTGAAAAGCTTATCTATAAAATGGTGTCCACCCCATCGATTAGCATCCCCAACTCCACTTCTCAGTGTTAAAACTTAGTTATTATGACAAACTTTGGGGGAGTCCAAGAATGTTTACTCAGATATCTAAAAGCTAGGACTAACAACGTGGAAGCAAGCTGTGTATATTTCCTTTTGGGAAAAAATGGGATCCATCAGACTGGGAAGTCACTGTGAATAGCGRGTGGATCTGAGCTTTCTTTTTTTAAAATGACCTTAAAGTTTAGCTGTCTGGCAGTGGAAGTTGTTCAATGGTGGCATGTCGGCTGGAGCTGCCAAAACACTCTTCCGTTTGCAGCAACTCAGGTGTGAGTCCTGCCCAAGGCAGAGGGATAGACCTCCCCAGGTCCCTCCCCTCCTTGCCACCAGCCTCTGGGCTGGGGGTGCACCGCTCGGTGCCGGAGCGCGTGCGGGAGAAGGAGAGGGAGGGCACTCCCGCGGGAGGGGCGCGGGGCGTGGAGGGCGTGGGCCGGGGGCGGGGCGAGCCCCGCAGACTGGGTGCTCGGGAGCTGTCAGTGTCAGGCTCGGGAGAGAGAGGAAGTGATCGCTCCCGGAGGAGCGCGAGCCGAGCGGCCGGCGCAGCGTGAGACAGCACATCCTGCCCGCGCCGGGCCCGCCGCCCTACGGTCGGCCCGCGCCGCCGCAGCCCGGGAGCCGCCTCCGCGCTCCGGAGCCCAGTGCCGCCGCTGCAGAGCGCATCCAGGTAAAGCCCCAGCGGAGGTCGGGTCTCCGCGCCGCAGCCTCCGCGCCCCTCCCCAATCCTTCGAGCCCGGGTGCCTTGGGCACTGAGAGTGGGGCAGTAGCAGCGACCGCTGCAGCCACCGCTGGACCTTGCCTCGGCCCCCTCCTCGGGCTTCTGCGTACTCTGCTGCGCCCAAATGCGACTGGAGCCCCCCAGCGGAAGTCCCTGCAGCAGTTCCCCCAGAGGAACCCAGAGACGCGGGCGGAGGAGGCAGGGTCATGGAGTCATCACCTTGTCGCCCACCTTGTAAACTGGGAGGGGCATCTCAGTGCGCCCCGCCTCAGTCTTCTCCTGGGGGAGCCGAAGGCAAGCATCTGTGCTATCCGCACCCCAGTGGGCCACCAGCTGACGGCCCCTGGGGGAGGGGGAGCTATAGAGGGAAGGGTAAGGATGCTGTTTGATTACATTTTCAAGCTGTCTGCAAAGCTCTTCCAAGCCTATCCGCTAAGTCGCAGGGAGCGAATGCACTTTCAGCAGGGCTTTAATTAAATACTCACACAAGAAAATGCCAATTTCTCTCTGCTGAAAAAAAAAAAAAAGTGTGACTGGAGTATGTATTTTGGTAAACACCTTCCTGGCTGCTTGGCTCTCCTTCCCCCACTCCTACTCAGAATCGCTCTGGCCTTATAAATCTGTGCGTCGTCATCCTAAGGGCAGTGATCCTGGCATCCCTGATGGGAACTGAGTGTGCAGGAGTCTCATGACTTGTACCTTGGCTAATGAGGTTGAACAGAGGACCAGGACCGGGACAAGAAATTTCTTAGGAAGTCAGAGATTCAACAAAAAGGAAGAAAAGGGAATATATTTGTTATTCTGGTCTCTACACACCTAAGTAAGGGGCAGTAAGTAGCCAGCCATTTTCTTGCCTGGAATGCCTTTAAAGTGTGCACTGTAGATTTACTGCAGTTCATAATTGTGAAAAAATTGCTTCCAAACATTCCAGACTAGCAGAAGACATAGCTAAGAGCGAGGGACAGGTAACTTCAGTAGACATCCTTGCTACTGTTAGCACAGTTACCTGTGACTGTCTCTGCACTTTGGTGAAATGGGGAAATCATAGAGAAGCATGTTGATCAGTGTTCTAAATTTGAAATGGGAACATACAGATCAGATTGCATCCTGAGGGCACCAGTGAGAATTTCAGTAATACTCCCTCTGATTATTTACAATGCCAAGTTTGCTTTGAAAGGTTTGGGGTGGACAAGGGGTTTAGACTCAGTTCCGATCATGATTCTCAATGAAATGAAATCTGATACTGCTAGCTTTAAGGCACCATATTCTCTTCAATGGAACCAGCTCTCCAGGTTTCTTAGGATCTGGGGAGCCAGTGCCTTAGGAGCCATTCTTTTAAGAATCCCTGGGATGTTTCTACAATAATGTAGAGGTCCAGAGAGGATTTTTCCAACCTGTCCCAGCTTTAGGTCCTGTTTTTGGCATAGACTATCCCTAGCATCTCTTCCTTGCCTTAGGCTTCATGCATAGATACACCTGCTCCCTCTACTCTTATCAAGATGCTGTATCCTCCCATGCACCCCTTGAAGAGGAGAGGGGTAGCCTACAGCCTGTCCCTACTCCTACCTTCCTCCTCCTTTTCTGCTGGAAATATATTCAAGATTGCTTGGCCATTAAAGGTTTACATCATTGGGCTGGGGATGTGGCTCAAGCATTAGCGTGCTCGCCTGGCATGC